GCACGTTTAGAAGCTATTCGTTTACTTCTTGCTTTTGCTTCGTCTATGGATTTTAAACTTTATCAAATGGATGTTAAGAGTGCCTTCCTCAATGGTTTTATTCAAGAGGAAGTGTATGTTGACCAGCCCCCGGGGTTTGAGGACTTTGAGTTTCCCGATCATGTCTTCAAACTCAAGAAAGCGCTCTACGGTCTTAAACAAGCACCACGTGCTTGGTACGAACGTTTGAGTAAATTTCTTTTGGATAGTGGTTTCCAAAGGGGAAAGGTTGACACTACACTTTTTATCAAGAGTAAAAACAATAACATCCTTTTGGTTCAAGTTTATGTAGACGACATTATATTCGGTGCTACTAACGAGTCTTTGTGCAAGGAATTCTCGACGCTAATGACTAGCGAATTTGAAATGTCAATGATGGGCGAGCTCACATTCTTTTTGGGACTCCAAGTTAAGCAAATGAAAGATGGAACGTTCATTTGCCAAGCTAAATACTGCAAGGAGCTCCTAAAACGGTTTGAAATGGACAACGCCAAAGCCATGGCGACCCCGATGAGCACGTCTGACCATCTTGACAAAGACGAGAAAGGTAAGGAAGTAGAGGTCAAAAAGTATCGAGGTATGATCGGATCCCTTCTCTATCTTACCGCTAGTAGGCCGGATATCATGTTTAGCATATGCCTTTGCGCGAGGTATCAATCATGTCCGAAGGAATCGCACTTAACTGCGGTGAAACGGATCATGAAGTATCTTGTCAGCACGGTTAACGTTGGACTGTGGTATCCAAAAGGCTCTTCTTGTCATCTCGTCGGCTACTCTGACTCGGACTTTGCCGGTTGCAAATTGGACCGTAAAAGTATGAGTGGGACTTGCCACTTACTTGGTAGTTCCTTAGTCTCATGGTTTAGCAAGAAACAAGTCAGTGTTGCGTTATCCACAACCGAAGCGGAGTATGTAGCCGCCGGTAGTTGTTGTGCTCAAATACTTTGGATGAAGCAACAACTCGTGGTTTATGGCCTTAGTATCAATCACGTTCCTCTTCGTTGTGATAATACTAGCGCCATAAGCTTGACGAAGAACCCCGTTCTTCACTCAAGGACGAAACACATTGACATTAGGCATCATTTCATTAGAGATCATGTTCTCAAAGGTGATGTCGAAATTGAGTTTGTTGAAACACACAACCAATTAGCCGACATTTTCAAAAAACCTTTAGAGAAAGAGTCGTTCTTCCGCATTCGAAGTGAACTCGGAATCCTTGAGCATCGGAGAACTTTTTCTTTTTTGCAGGTACCCCGTTCATGAAATCAAGGGGAACCATACAAACAGCGCTGTCTAGGAGACACAACAGCGCTATTGAGGGAAACACCGTCAACCAGAAAGTTTTCCAACAGCGCTGTCCATCAAGCCAACAGCGCTGTCCCAGGAAGTCCCTTCAATCTTCACTTTCCAGAAACTTTTTGAACATCGATGTTTCCTTTTAAACATCGCTGTCTTCCCAAAACTTTTGTTTTCAACCAAAACCAGAAACTTCTTTAACAGCGATGTCTTACTTTCAACATCGATGTCCATTTTTACAAAATTTTTTTCCAATCGCATAACAGCGATGTAGGATAACCCAACAGCGCTGTCCTAATGGGTTTACACCCTTACACAATTCCAGAGACTTTTGGAACATCGCTGTAGGGTACTTTTCAACATCGCTGTCCCTTTGACACTTTTTAAAAAAAAAAAAAACTTAACGCACAACAGCGCTGTTCAGCATTCTACCAGCGCTGTCGCAACAGCGATGTCGCCTATAGAACATCGCTGTTCAGGTCAAATTTTTCAAAAAAGTATCCGTTGGCAGCAACATTAATTTCTCCAACAGCCATATTTTTGAAAATCTAGACGTTGGAGACCACCTTTTCTAAGAATTGGGACCCCCTCTCCTCACTTTTACACACACAAACACATATTTCTTCAATATCTTCACATATTTCATCCTCTCAACTCTAATTTTTTTGAGATTTCTTCACTATGGGCAAAGACAAGAGCAGGGCAGGCACCCGTTTCCTCACCCTTTTCTCTAAACGGGTTGTGGCTCCCCCACGGATCATCTCGGAGCGCTACCCGGAGCTGCAGGGCTACGACGACCTTGACGCACAGCTTCATCAAGCCAGCCTTTGGCCGTTCGTCTCTCGGGCGCGCAAGGAGATCAACCCGGCGCTGATCCGGGCCTTCTACTCCAACCTCCGGCGTGAGGACGACGTGCTCTACTAGCTTGTCAAGAGCACGCCGATTGAGCTCACCGTGGAGCAGCTTGGGCGCATCGCCGGCCTCCCCTTCCAAGGCGACGATGTGTCTCACTATGGTGGAGAGGACTGGGTGCTCAACAACGAGGGCCTTATCCTCAACGAGCTTGGCATCACCGAGCTCATTCGCCATGCCTCGGGCCGCCCCACCATCCACTCCGCTAACCCCGATGGCCATCTTCTTCTCTACATCGTCTCCCAGATCATCAAACCCAGGAAGCACGGCAACACCATCATGTCCGGTGAAGATCTCAAGCTCACCCATGCGATCATGCACTCGGCCCCAATAAATTGGGCAAAGTTTGTCATGATCAACATGACGATTGCCGCGTCCACCGACCACGACCACCTCCTCCCGTACCCGTTCGTGGTGATGGACATCCTTGAACGGTTCAAGGTGACCACCACCGTTGGCCCGCTCACAAAGGCCACGAAGATTTGGGCGGTCAGCACCCAAACCTTCAAGAAGCGGTCGGACAACGCCGGACCTGCCACTGTCGTGCAACGGCGCCGTTCTGCTGCTGGCCCAGCCGAAGCCCAGGCCCGGGCCAACCTTTCCTCCATCGCCGACTCCCTCAACCGGCTTCACTTCAAAGTTGACGGCATGGATGACTACCTTGAGCGGCTCGACGAGGCCGTTCAACGCCAAGGGCACGCCATGAACGCATACTTCCAACGCGTTAACTACGTCCCCCCACCGTACCATGGCACGTTCTTTGGGCAAGTGTACGGTGACGAGGACGAAGAGGATGGCTCCTACGCCCCGTCAAGCTCCCCGGACGAGGACGAGTTCGACGACGCCGTTGACGGTGATGAGATGGACGTCGACGACGATGAGGAGGAAACCGAAGATGAAGACTAGGCCGCCCCTAGAATTTCTATCTCTTTTGTTTTAATTATCATGTCTCTTAATGCTTCCGTTGTACTCCGCTATTTCCCATCTTCAATAAATAAAAATTGTCTTTTATCTTTTTGTTAATGTGAAAAGGGGGAAGAAAAGGGCTATGCATATACTAAAGGGGAACGTCTCTATAAACGAGACCGTTTGATTTTAATCCAACTAATTTTTTTTAAGCACAAATTAAGGGGGAACTTTTTTTTCACAACTTTTGAAAAACAAATATCCCTTAGTATGCATATCCCCGTCTTGTTTGCCATTATCAAAAAGGGGGAAATTGTTGGAACATGGGTTTACGCCTTACGTCGTACTAAACTGTGTTCGGTTTTTATGACAGGTTTTGATAATGCCAAACCGCCGCGACATATCGAAGCTTAAGTGGGCAAAAATAAGCCGAAGGAACATGGCATGATGACTTGAGAACCAAGAACCCAGAATCAAGAACGAAGAACTAAAATTGTATTGAGTCGGTCTTTATGTGATCAAGACCGGCACAAAATTCCAAATCTTGGCTCCCTAGGCTCAATTCATAAAAATCTCTTTTACATGTTCAAAAATATTTTTCTTAAGTTTAAACTTGGGTCAAAACACTTGGAGTTCGCCCAAGCCAAAAACCAAGCCATCCGGCGTTCAACTTTCAGAAACCGGCATTCGGCTTTCGGTTTTCGGCATTGGTTTTTGGCGTTCGAACCAACTAAGTGGTTTTCAACTTTTTATGATTGGTTTTTACTTCTGGGCATATTTATTTAGCTCTCCAACAAAAACGCCTCAAAAACCACTCTCCGTTTTTTGTCGTTTAGTAAAAACCATGCGAAACGGCACGAACTTGGTTAGCCGTGGTTTTCAACTAAATGACGTGGTTTTCAAGATGTTTTACTTGTTCTCTTAGAAAAATGAAATAAACAAATGTTTTCTAAACATGGTTTTTATTTTGGAGAACTTGCATTTTTGACATCGGCTAACGGCGTGACTAAACCAACCATGGGTCTGGCTAAACCAGCCCAACAGCGATGTTGAGGTAATCAACAGCGCTGTCTAGACTGGGTAGCTAAAAACATGGTTTGGCGTTAAGTCTTCCAACAGCGATGTTGGAAACTAGACATCGCTGTTGAGCCAAGGTTGGATTTCCAGAAACTTCTGGAACAGCGATGTAGGCTTCCCTACAGCGCTGTCCAACCTAAGCCAAAAATATAGTGCATTGGCAGAAAGTTTTTGGACAGCGATGTTGACCCAGCAACAGCGCTGAAGCTTGTGTTGTGTTCTTGAGCGTTCTTAGTTTACTCATTATCCACTCTAAAAGAGAGTATTGTTCTTGAGTGTTTTTAGTGTTCTTAGACACTTGACAAGAGAAGGTATTTCTCTTGTTGTTCGATGGAAGGGTTGTTTCCTTCGAAGGTTCGTTGAGGTTCGTGTGACTCGAATTCTCAAGTTGTACGGGTTTGTTAAGCACCGTTAAGCTTAACGAGATAGTAGTGTAGCTCGAGAGAGTCTCTCGGGAGGCTGGACTAGCCACAAGTTGTGGTGAACCAGGGTAAAATCGGTGTGCCTCGTTCTTTTCTCTTTACTTCTCACTTATTCATTTTTATTCCTGCGAATTCTTGATCAAACGCTATTCACCCCCCCTCTAGCGTTGGTCTAATATTCTAACAACAGTCTACTGTCACTTCTGATAATCTACTGTCTGATGTTCAGAATGGGCTGATAATCGATTATCACACTTTGATAACCGATTATCAAACTTCAGAGAGGGCTGACAGTCGATTATCACATTCTGATAATCGACTGTTGCTCAGCTTTGTTCAAAAAATCTGCAGAACGATGAATAATCGATTTTCATGTTGATAATCAATTATCCACCGTCTTCTACCTCGAGCCAACTTGCGGAAATGTCACTTTTACTCACCAAACTTCAATTAAAGTATATAAAAATGTTCTCCAAGGTTCATGGATCATTTTAGCATCATTAATTCATAATTTTAACATCAATTTCATGGTTTATGATTCTTAGTTTTTCAAGCATGTCAAACACAAAACTCAACCAAATGACCATTTATGAACGTAGAAACGACCTATATGAACATTCTAGTCATTAGATATATCTACGCGCTTACCTCAAAGCTTAATGGAGGTTTTGGAAATATTCCGGTGAAACTTCCGGCGAGTATAACTCTCAACTCCGACGACTTCACACCAAATTGACAACACCACTGCGTTCTCCTCACTCAGAGCAACAGAATAGGACGAAATATTTTGAGAAATGGTGAAGAAATGGTTAAGCTTTGGTAGTCTTATATAGGAAGGAGATGGGGAAAACTTCCAAGCCTGCTGTATCATTCCAATCGGCGTATCCTTGTAGTGGAGGAGGAGGCGCAGTCTCTACAGTGTCCCTGATTGGGACCAATTT